CTACTTCACCTGCACTGACTGTTGCCTCGCTTGTGTCACCATGTGCCGCGGCGCGCGCTCCTCCCGCAGCAGGAAGTGTGGTCGGTCGTCATCCGACCGGAGGACGCGCCGTCACATAAATATGTAAACAGTTCGGCATTCATTTTCGCACACCCGAACCAGGTCCGTTCGGGTGTCCCCCCCCCACCCCATTTGCGCTCTCAGCCACGCTGCTTCCCGCTTCCTCTGTTTTGACTCCAGCCGGTTACATCATCAAAAAGAATTGCGCGGTTGGCTGGTAGACTACAGATCTCTATCATAGGACAAATTTATATWGTTTCTACCGTATATYGTTTATATCGCKCATTCCTAGACTGAGCCCTTCTGGACAGAGATCTCTGAGGTGGTTCCTGGGGTCTGTTAGAGCCACCCTTCCAGTATGGGGTTCACAGAATAGAGTACTCTGATACAAAAATAATTTACATGTTTTTGGTAAATATTAGGGGTGCAACAATACATGYACCCATATCGAACTGTTCAATAGTGCTTTAGGTTCAATATACACTTGTATCGAACAATACAGGTTTATAAAATGTATTTTATCAGCTTGTCTTCAGAAACTGTGCTGTGCTGAAGGCTCAGTAGATCTGTGTTTGACTACTCCACAAAGCCTGCATTGTCGAGCACAGATCCACCAAGGAACTGGCTGCTTCAGCAACATTTAATTTAAAAACTTTACCTTCGAGGTTAAACAAATGTTCATAGTTAATTTCAACAAATTACAAGTTATGAAGGTCATGGAAATGTCTCTTTTTTTGTATCGAAAAAAAAAAACGAACCATGAGACTAACGTATCGAACCAATTCGTGAATTTTCTGTATCGTTGCACCCCTAGTAAATATGTGATTTAATTTCGAAGGAGAAAATAAGCACAGTCATCTTGTAGCAACTGACTCGTTTCTTCACCGGTCAGCCAGTGTGTGATCYGGCTTGAGGTGAGTTTTCCTGTTAAATAAACCCATAGAGACKGTGCATAAGCTCCGCCCACTCAACCCACCACTCCTGCCATGGTAAAATAAAGCTTAGTGGATATGTCAATATACAATATGCAAAGGCGGGGCTGCCGTGCACCTCCACCTCTGACCACYGTCAAAGTGTCTTGCCCAAAGACACAACAAMTGAGACACYATAARTCAATGAACTGTTACCTTCAGTTATGAAAAAGCTGCAMGTATCAAAACATAATTTTAACTTTGCACCTTCAGATTGGCCTCTGTCCTACTGTTTCTGACATTCCCACTTCAGCATGTCGTCACAACAATGCTTCAGGGGCGGGGTRCTCTGTGAGGCGGGAGTTTAGCTGCAGACTGAGTTTCAGGGAGGTGCTTTGTAACAGCACGCGTTTAGGCAGCTCCACATGGTCACCACAGGAAATTCAAGGATTTCTCCAAAAGAAACGAGTTAAACACTCTGGGGATGTTTTTGATAAGGGAATGACATTATAACATGGTATAAACCTCAAAAAAACATTGATTTTGTACAACACACTCCTTCAAGGATGCTGGAAAACCAAAGTTTCAAACTGGACRATCACTAGTATAAGCTTAAAATCAGCCAGTTTTGGGGCATCTTTCTATCTTTTAGACCAGTGGTTCCCAAACTTTTTATCTTCTGACCCATAAAATATCCATGGCAAAAATTTGTGACCCCAAATATTACTGGTCTGAGTACACAAAC